TATATATATATATATATATATATATATATATATATATATATATATATAACTAAACAATTTTATCTTTGATGTCATTTAAAACATGTTGACGTAATAGGCGTGTAAAGTTGCAAATAACAAAATAAATAATAAAATAAAAATATACGTAAACAAATATAGATATTTTTATTAATAAAATATTTATTTGTTTTTTTTTTTTTAATTCTAATGATATTAATTATTATTTAACATCACATTATAATATTTAATAATAATTTGAAATTATATATATATATATACACACACAATAAATATTCCTGTAAAATGTTCGATATTCGTAAAGCAAATTTTGAAACGCATCGAAATTAATATTCTCACAAATTGTTTTAAATGTTTCTCTATCTCTCAGTGAATAATCATATGCAAACATAATAAAAAAAAAAAAAAAAAAATACTAAACAAAACAGACAAACAATGTAATTTTCCTTTCGTTGTAATATACATTCCTTGAGAAATGTTTCACGTTGTTGACTGACCGATGTTAAATTTAGATTTTCGGTTTCTTCAAGAAAATTTTAACTGAATATCATCAAATGTGAATACTAATAAATATTAATAGTACGTATACAAAATTAAAAAAAAAAACACACACACACAAAAATAATCAAGATAAATTTGTTATATATATATAGTAAGCTTTTATATTCATTTCAAAATGAAAACATCAATAATTTTATATTACTCAAACATGTTATTATTTCAATGAGTTGTATTATATCGTAAAACGGTAATTGGAAATGAAAAAAAAAAAATAAAAATAAAATAAAATATTAAAAAATTAAAACAGCGAGGAAAAAAAAAGTAAGTAGAAGAAAATTAACGTAAAAAAAAAAAAAATATAAAAAATAAAAAAAAAAATAAAAAAATATTACATAGAAGAACAACAGGAATATCTTCCATGACTCATTGTATAGATGAAGGTATCGATAAAGCTACTTAATACAGCTTACTTAGCGATATCGTGACATAACCACACACACACACACACACACACACACACACACACACACATCAACCATCCATCAACTTACGCACATATACACAAATCAAAAGAGATACGCGCTATTTCTACACATAAACAGGTTATTGTAGCAAAGATACGAAATTACTACTCTACCTCGTACCAAAGTACAAGTGCAATTTTTGCCTTTGTCATCGAGATACTGCTGCACCATCAAAAGGGGAATAGAAGCCTGGTATTGGTGTTGGTGGGGGGGGGGGAGACAGGGGAGACAGGGGAGACAGGGGTTATTACATAATTCAATTTCAATCTACTGCAAAGATTAAATATGTTCGAGAGAACACGCCAAAGTATCGTTTTTCAATTTTACACTTATCGTGTTTCTTCCTTTCTTCCGTCATTTTGAATTAATCTTTTTTGGGGGGGAGGAGAGGTGGGGGGACTGGGGTTCTCACAGTATACAATAATAAAAAGAAAATAAGTAAAAAAGAAGAAAAAAAGATTAGATATTAAAAATATAACGATGATAATTACTTTTTCGTATCATTGAAGAATTATCATCGTCAGGTATAAATTTGAAACGATATTATGTAGATATTTATTTGTCCTCTTATCGACTAATATATAAGAAAGATTAGTTTTTTTTTTATCTTTTTTCTTTTTTTTTTTCTCAACTCTAAATGATAAAATGAGAAGTCAATAAAATGAAAAAGATAATTTTTAAACATATATATATATATATATATTAATAATACGTATTCACATAATGAAGTAGTCAATAGAACAACGATCCTTGAACCTTGCTATGCGACTATGCGACGCCATTTTGAAAACAGCATAAAAATCTCTATGTCGTGAAATTATTTCTACATGTAAATTGTTCTTTTTAAAAATATCTGATAAAAAATAATACGTAATATACTTTATTGTTAAATAAAATTAAAAAAAAAAAAAAGGAAATTATCGATGCTTGAAAAAAAAAGAGGTTAGGCTTATTGATTTAAAAAGAGTGGGAAAAAAAAAATTAAAAAAGAAGAAAATTATGAAAAAGATATGGTAGAAATCGATAATAAACTTTTACTCGCATAATTTTCATCCGAGAATTAATATAATGATCGATAACCCAGTTTTGATTCCGAACACTTCTATCAACTACGAGAGTCAAGAAGAGCCATACTGCGCAGGGCCTGATGCAGCATAGAACTACGTGAATACATTTCTCATTAAAAAGAGAAACAATTTTATTGAAATAGAAATAGATACAAAAAAAGTTTTAAATGAATCTACAAATATAATAATAATAATATAAAGTTAAAATAATAGAAATATAAAAAAGAATATAAAAATGTGAGCTTGAAAGTGTGTGTGTGTGTGTATTTTATGTCTATGCGTAGGAGAGAGGGTATTTGACTAATACAGGAAAGGGGTTTTCTAAAAGAAAGTCTTATTGATTTTCATGGTGTGAAAGAGAGTCGCGAATAGATGTCAGGTCGATAAGATTATGGGTGGTAAGCGAAACTAATTATCGTAAACACGAGAAAAACAACAAAAAGAAAAAAAGGAAGAAGAAGAAAGTACTGTAAACAAAACATTAGAAAAAATATTTACACTTCAGTTGTTGGTAGTATGAAATTAACTTTGTGTTATTCCTTTTCCTCGATCCACGTATATATATGTATGTGTGTTATGTACATGTATATAACT